CTCCCTGGAGGCCAAGATAGCCAAACTTCGTCTCTCATACTTGGGATATATTGTCAGGAGGGACCAGTCACTAGAGAAGGATACCACATTTGGTAAGGTTGAGGGTCAGAGAAAAAGAGGAAGAACCCCCAATGTAAGTGATTGGCCAAGTGGCAACACTGATGGACTCAAGCGTGGCAACAGTAGTGAGGTTGGCCCAGGATCAGGCAGTGTTTCGTTCTGCTGTGCATAAGGGTCGCTATGGGTTAGTACCGACTCGATAGCACCTAACAACAACAAATATATATATATGTTATTGTTGCTAAGTGCCATTGAGTGGGTCCCAACTCATGGCAACCCCATACAGGGTTTCCAAGGAGTGAACAGCAGACCTTGTGTTTCAAACCAACCTTTATATACATATGGAGTCCTGGTGTGGTGCTGCGAGTTAATGCAATAGAGCACAAGTAAACATCTTTCTGTAAGGTCAGTTTCAACTACAAAGGCAGTTTCAACTGTAAGATCCATGGTTCAACCTAACCATCTGTTCCTCGGAAGCCCTATACAGGGTCACTAGAGTCAGAACTGATTAGACGGCACTGAATAACAGGATATATGTATATGAAGAGAAGTTTATATCAAGGAAATGGCTCACAGTTGTAGGATAGTAGAGACCCAAGTGCAAGAAACCAATATAAGCAGGAGAGTCTGGAAGGCAGAAATCAAAAGTCGGGGACTTAGTAGTACCGCAGCGCAGGAGAAGGGGTGGCAGCAGAGTGACAGGTGACCAAGGCCTGACCAGGCATGCTGCAGAACAAGCAGTGAGGAACATACAAGCTGGTGCATCAAGAACAAGCGTGCAGGGTCCAGCAGGCAAACATAAAATAGAGCTCAAGTTTAAAGAACAGGAGGTTGGAGGATGACCCAGATGTGAGATCTAGATCCACCAGGGAAGAGAGCAAGTCTTTCCTGCATGTCCACTATACTGGGAGCAGGCTACAAGGAAACAGTCTTTCAATTGATTGGCTGCTCATAGCCAATCATTGTAGAGTTAACTATCAACTGTCCAACATTTGGAAATCCTGGCTCAATCAAGTTGACACAAAACCTTAGCTAATTAAGCCCTGCATCATTCAGCAGACTATGGTGAGCCCAGGTAGAGACCTGGTCGGCCAGCAGTGAGGCAAGACTTGGGGACTCATGGGCTCAGAGTCAGTGACACATCCACAGAGGACTAGAGAGGAGACCGAAGCAACCAACTGATAAGAGGAGGGAGGACAGATGCAGGAACACCCACACCTGCAGATGATACCCACTTGCCATGGCTCCAATGATGGGAAGAACAAAGCTCAACCCAAAGAAGAAAGAAGATGGAAAAAAAGCGTTATCTGATACAGTCTGATAAACTGGACATCCATCTATAAACGCAGTAGCTCAAAAGAGGAAACAAATCCCTGCTC